TCAGACGTGTGCTCTTCCGATCTCCCCAAAACCCCAAAACCCCATTCATATAAAATATTGTGGTATAAGAGTAATGTGAAATCTAATAAATAATAAATTGAAACAGGGATTGTTGATTATAGACCCTAGTAAATATAAATTTGCACCCTATTTATTACCAAGTTTAAATCATCAAAATCAATCTATAATTTCAATTTAAACTACTTGAAAATGGTTAGGAAGAGTGCAAGATCTGTAAATCAAACCATAACTAATCAATATGTGGTAAACGAGGAATATCTTAGAGAGCTAATTGAGCAAGATAATGATTTTGAACCGTATCCAGAATTATTGCCTTCAGAAAAAGCCTAGCTTGAGTCTGACAATGAAAATGATGCATCCATGTTTACGGTTGAAAAGATATTAGATAAAAGAAAAGAAGGCAGACGTATATTTTACCTAGTTAAATGGGAAGGATATGCTGAGGACTAGGCAACATGGGAACCTCTTAGTAACCTTTAAAATGTGAAAGAACTCCTGAAGGAATTTGATAGACAATTTGAACTTGGAGTAATGAATAATAATTCTACTAACGTCTCTGTAAATCCAAACAATTCAACCAATAATGATAATGATAGAAACATGGAATTCACTTAGGATAACGATGAAATGCAGTATATGGTTTAGAGGAACTCCCATGATAAGCTTATTCCAATTAGCTCTAAAAGTAAATCTATAAAGAAAGGATGGTCTAAAAAATTTGAAAAATAACACTCTTAATATGATGCAATATCGGTAAATTAAACTTTGGAGAAACATTCATGTGTTAAAACTGAGCCGCTTAGCTAAAAAATTAAAGCTAAAAAATAAGGCTCTAAAAGCTAAGAGATAATAGAGGACACTGAGGAGTAAATAAAAATTTTGAACAAGTAAAAGGAGATTATTAAACAATAATAATATTAAATTGAGGAATAATTGCAAATATTAGAATAAATTAAATAGCATAATAAAATAAGATAGTTATCGCTCTAATGTGGAATAAAATCAAATACTAATAACGTAGATACTCAAGTGAGTCCTGAAAAATCTCGATCTTAAGCAAAATTAACGAAGACTAAGAACTTAACATATAAAAGAGGCAAGTAATCAGTATTAAAGCAAATAAGCTAATAATAGTAGACAGATGGATTAGGGTAATCAGATTTAATGGCGAAAGCTAATCCTAAGAAACCTGGCAGAAAGAAAAAAAATGCAATAGTAAATGATACTACAAATGAGGCTTAGACTAATTAGGACTAGAGTGAATAGTTTGATCCAACTTGCTGTGAAATAAATACTGAAGAAATCAATGAATTAGTTTAGGATGAATTACCTCAAGAAGGTGTATTAGAATTTGATACCCCAGTTTCAATTAAATCTGCCAAGATGATAAATGGTCAAATTAATATAGTAATAGAATGGCAAGTAAGGAAAAATGGTTTCAAGCCTCTTGAAAGTATGATTACCAATGATTAAGCTAAATAAAAATGCCCTAATCTGCTAGTAGATTTTTACGAAAGTAAAATTAGCTCAATTAAATCGCAAAATGTAACAACAGCTGATTAATAAAAAGATAACTAAAAATATAGCAAGTAAATATAGAACCCTGAATAAGAATAAATTAGTAAAAGTTGATCAAATTCTAAGTAATAAATTTCTCATGATTTTGGGGACCGAGATTAATCAACAAATGATTCAATGGATGAAACTCGATTTTCTATTGTTTAATTTATTTCATAAATTAACTTTTTTACTATAAATCATCAAATAGACTTTTTCGGGGTTTTGGGGTTTTGGGGTTTTGGGG